AGGTGCTAAAAGATAAATTTTCGTCACTTTGCAGCAAGGCCTCTTGTGAGATTCGATATTGAATGGGACCTTTGCCCCATCAAATGCATAGGGCCTAGCAAAGGCCTAGTTTAGAACCATCAAAAAGTGTATAGAGACTAACGACGAGGGGAGTACTAGCAGCCCAGCTTTCTTAGCAAAGGAACGTAATGGAGGAGTCAATTTCGAACACAACACCCCCGTTTCAGAACGTTCTGAAGACCAAGGAGAAAGGGAAAGGAGGTGAGCTCTCAGATGAAGTTGGAACTTTCGTAGCGCACGGGGATTCGGTGGGACATAAATGTAAAATGAGATTCGCGTCGGTGAACATTCCGAAACCCATCAAAAATGCATAGGGCCTAGCAAAGGACTAGAGGCCGAATGTTCCTCATAGACTGAGCGCCTATTAGGCGAGCAGAGCTCAAATCACCGGTTTCAATTCATTTTAGCCCGTCTCGGAGAAAGGGTAAAAATCGTATGGGAAATCGCAAAGAGCGAGGTCCGTTTTCGTAACGAGTAGAACGTCAATTCCAGGACATTCTAAGAGCCCAAACTAGTTTAGATCTGCTAAAGAACGAACATAGTTAATATGTGGAGGTGGTAAGGCAGGGCTAGGATAAGAGTTTCACAATTTTGTGCGAGGGTCAGAAGGAACGTAGACTCTACAATAACAAAAACACTACGTGGGAAACTCCAGAGAAAGCTATGAGGAAGAAAAAGCGCTAGTCAAGGAGAGTTCACAATGAATTGATCGAGGTACGAGAAATTAAACGGCCTGGTTTAGGGACACTAGGATGCTGATCAGCAACGATGGAGGAAAACCTATGCTTCGATTCCGTGAGTTAAGCAATACAGTTTAAAATTACTGGCTTCGGTGCAACGACCGGAATGAGGCTGCATCTCCCAAACTGACTGAATGTAGTCATAAGAGGTGGAATTTAATAAAGCTCTTTTATTGGCTGCCCCCTGAAATTGTTGGTTTGCTGAAGCGGACGAGTTGGCGTGCCACAGCCAAACTTACGCTGAAGAAGAACATCTTACAACAGTAGATAAGGCTGACCGCAACTCAAAGTGGTCACAAGCTCGCTCGTTAACTTTTATCCAACTCATATAAAGAGAAACGGTGGAGCAGCTCATGACTTCACTTGCACGGAAATGTTTCAAAAATTTCAGCGATGAAATTCTTATATTATTGCGACTACAGATGAGGAAACTGCGTAGGAAACGGCGATCATACGTTTGAGGGCGAAAACCTATCTAAAAATCGACTAATTTTGAAGAAATTGAGGGCGGAGAACAGGAACAGCCGGTATCACCCACGACTTATTAATAGGGTCGATCTCATCACCGTAGCCATCCGAAATACGATGCGAAGATTGCAAGAAGAGCCAGCCGATTCACAAGGAAGCGAACAAGAGGTTAAAAAAATTCTGCCATCTGCCGAAATGTCGAAGACCACCTGACACGAGCACCTTAGTCGATTTTAAGTCAGTAAAGCCCGAGCAGTCGTCGCTGGAATCCGATGAGCCGTCAAGAAAGGTTAGGCAGACCACCGACGTCGTTAAAGTCCCCTAATTTCAAAAACAAAAAAAAACTCGAGTGAAGCAATTCTATACCCGTCTCACTCAACTATCACAATCGAAAAACGATGAGGGTGAAAACAACAGGTAGCTTCGTCCCGGTTTCCTTAGTCAAACTACATGATTTGAAATGCAGTTAATGTGAAAGGCAGCAGAATTCCTGCGATAACGGAAAGACTGCGTCAGTAGCGTCGGCAATACTTCAGAGCATCTGAGAAAGCGACCATACGTCGAAGCCAGCGGTACCACATGGGGTGAAGAATCATGTATTATACAAACTGTGCTTCATCACTTGTCAACATGCCGTGCCAGACGATATTAAGATCGATTCATGGAAAGATCCAAACAGAACATCAAGTCGATCGTCGACGAATTGATTCGAGATCATGGAAATGGTCGTGAACTGAGAGCTCTGAAACGAGTCCACCTCGATGGCGACTTGCCAACGTCAGCAGTTGAAAGGCACGTTCACGGAGAACGCCGGAGTAGTATCGATGAATGGGGGTTATGGAGTTATCGAGATTGCGAGCGATTCCCATGCACAAAAACTTCCAGAAAATATACCAGGACATCTGTTGATTAGCCTTTTGACAATCCATTTTCTTGAGCCATGCAAATTTCTCGAGCTTAAAACTAGGTGCATCCTTTCCCATCCTGGTAATCTTACCCCTACTCTTTTCTCAGATGAAACAGCGATTGATCACACTCTCCCAATAGTTTTACCAGTTCTACCAAATGAGAGACAAATCAATATATGACTTATTGATCACATCTCCCTGTTACAGCCATAACTACTGTATGTTGGATACTCTTCTTGAGCAAATAAGTTTGCAGAGCGGGAATGAAATCAAGCACTTTCCCTACGGTTATAGTGCCTAGGAGATGATTCAAGAGTACAAAGAAACTTTCTATAGTTTTGTCAGAAATCTCAAAACTACTTACAGCTCTGCAAATGTGTGGTTGTCGCAGGAGATCCGTTCATTGATGTGCCACGGCCACTTCGTCAAACCGTCCAGAACCTCCATTTCAGAGAAGTGCAGCAGCCAAAAAGCCTCCATAATTCCTAGGATCTTCAAAGCACATAGCACAAAAAGACTTCCGCATAATTTCCGCGCATCTTCTTAAGCAGGTTGAACGGCGAAGCTTTTACGATCTTATTCACTCGAAAACACCTTGGATCCATTGCTTGTGATTCCAAGAAAAGCAGTGAAAGCTCTTGAGAGCAGAAAACCTGACAGGACCGTTTTTTCCTTCAACATCTTCCCAAACTCTGCACTCAAACACACTAGAAAATGCTGTTTTGGGGCCAAGAATCTGCTCCGAAAACGTCCTCAAGTTTTCCAAATGTGGGAGCTGTTTCGACACAGAGTGTTCTAATCATCTTAGTCGTTCACTGTTCATGCAAAACATCCATCCCCTACCCTCCCCAATACGGCAGCCCCCAACTTTTCACGATGTCGTGCAATCTATTGCTTTGATGACAGGGAGCAATTGTTCAGGGCACACATCCTGTTCAAAGGCACAGTTCACGTTGAAAGTGATTTCTAAGTTTACTCCCTTCCGCAAACCTGTTACCCCCAAAGATAGTCTAAGGGATCAGTCGGATCGAAAAACGGTCAAATTAACCTTAATAAAAGCCCCAGAACCGGCTCAGCCGAAGTACACACACACCCAGGGTGGACGGGTTCTTGAGCGTTATTGAAAGCTGTAGAGGCTGCACCAATCGCATCAAGACCCACACAAGCGCGCAGGCCGCTTACTGTACAGGCTGTACGCAATGCACCCAAATTCGGAAACCCCGTTCAAATACTCCCCCCGCCACCCCCATGCAACTTTTGCCCCAACCCGTAAACTAACTGCATTTTGACTATTAGGGATTAAAATTCCCGTCATTCGGCTAAAATTAGATGCCCCAAAATTATCGTGAACTGTGCCTTCACTGGCTGCCTGTACATACCTCAAACGTGGTCATTCCTGACAAGCAGGCAAGCACCACCACGACTTGGCAAAATACCGTGACATTTCGTACAGCAGTATGGCACCAGTAGCGTGCTGAACGTTCCAATTCCAATCCTCGATTCGTAACCAGCAGATCGATACCGTCTGATTGATCTAGTTGAAGAAATCACATATGATCGGTGGGTATTGATTGGTGTGGTGCAATGAGAGCAGGAATCCTGTCCATTGCTTCCTTTAGGGAGGTACTGTCCATTCACGACTTGCAAGGTGCGATGCTCCTGAGCTGTCGATCTGTGCTTCCATCTGCTACTAG